AAGCCTTTTCAATTTTCCATACTTTTAAAGTTAAAATGTTTTTCATTTTAAATAAGGTCAAAATAGAATGTTATTTAGTTATTGGACAAGTGGTATTATTTAAACATATATTTCTGAAATTTTCAACTTAATTGTATTCAACGTCGTAGAATTTCTGAAATGCAAAAAGCTTAGCATCTTTAATATAGTACTCAAGGTATAGTAACTCTGTCGGTGTGTTACACATCGATCAAATCTCTAAGAATACAATCATAAGGCTCTAATTAAACATTTTCTTTTGAAAAACAAATTAATTAGTTCAGAATCTAATTCCAAAGATCGGTTAAATCTAATTAATACCCATCCCACCGTATAATAGCAATTCACCATTATTCCTCCTCAATATATCACCCTTATTCCTCAGGTTGCGACGTGCAACCCGATCCCACCATATAATAGCAATTCACCCTTATTACTCCTGTTACGGCGTGCAACCCGATCCCACTATATCAGCATAAATTACTCAACAAGTATAGAAATTTCATAAATTAACTCAAAACTCTTCACAATATTTAAACCTCAAACCAAAGCAAACGGAAAGCTTGTACATTATGAAACTTCACACAATAATGCTACTCAGCGAAACCAATCAAAAATATACCATAAAACACCGATAAATCACCTTAAGCCAATAATATGAGACAATGAAACTACGGGGTAGCCAATACCTTCAACAATGAAAAACAATGTCTGACAAGTAGCAATTAAGCATGGAAACACCAGTAAAGCATTTAGCAGTTAAGGCAGGGAAGACAATATAATAAGAATGGGAAGAAAACAAGCAAAACAGATAAATTGGCGGTGCATAGGTACTCGTCACCTATGCATCCTGGAAAGAAATCTCACTCCCAGTCTCCTTAGCCATCTGCAATCTGATAGGCTGAGCGAGTCCCTTAATAAACCTCCTCACCCTCTCTCTTTCGGTAGAAAGTATAAGAAGAGCATGACGGGCCAAATCAACAAACCGGGTCTCGTACTAAGTGACGGACATACTGCCCTGCTGGAGACGCTCGAACTGCCTGCGATAGTCCTCTCTCAATGTAACAGGAAGGAACTTCTCAAGAAATATCTGAGAGAACTTGTCCCAAGCCAAAGCAGGAGAACCAGCTGGTCTAGTCAACACAAAGTCATTCCACCATCTCTTGGCGGACCCTATCATCTGGAATGCAGCAAAATCGACCATATTGGTCTCCACTATCCCTATGTTCCGCAGCACCTCATGGCAGCGGTCAAGATAATCTTGTGGGTCCTTAGAAGCTGCCCTACTGTAATGAACTGGAAAGAGTTTGGTGAACTTGTCCAATCTCAACAAAGCCTCAGAAGACATAGCTGATCCGTCACCGATCTGTGCTGCAACACCCGGCGGAACAGCCCCAACTGGTTGAGCTGCTGGAGTCTGAAACTGGGGAACCATCTGCTTTGGAGTGTGAGTAGCGGGAGTCTGAACTCCTCCCAAGCCCGAGAGACGGCTGGTGCCACAGGAAATGTGTCGGCCTGAGCAACACTCTCCATAAGGCCCATTAGACGGACTAAAGCATCCTAAAGTACTGGGGTAGCGATGAACCCCTCTGGAACCTGAGCTGGCCCTGCTGGAATGATCTGGGATGGAGCCTCCTCATCAAGCTCTACCTGAGGCTTCACCACTGGTGCTGCTGCTCGAGCTCTAGGCTGAGCCCTGCCCCTGCCCCGGCCTCTAGCACGGACGCGGCCTCGTCCTCTGCCCCTAGTAGGAGCTGCCACTGGGGGCTCTGGCTGCTGCTCAGTTGATGAAGCGGTATGTGTTCTCGCCATCTGCGAAGGAACAAGTGTAGAGAGTTCAATTAGCATTGAGAGATCAAATTGTACGACAGAAAAGAATAGAATTGAAAATTTTCCTAAACTCTGTAGCCTCTGGGGATAACCACAAACGTCTCCGTATGATCCCTCAGACTCTACTAAGCTTGTTCATGAATTGTGAGACCTAGGAAACCTAGTGCTCTGATACCAACTTGTCACGATCCGAATTTCCCACCGTCGGGATCGTGACGGCGCCTAACATCACACTTACCAGGCAAGCCAATCTTAGAGGTTATTTAGCCATTTCTTTCCATTTTTAGTAATCATCAGTAAACAGGCAAAATGAAGCGAATTAAATATAAGATGTACAGATATCGGTTTCGTTTACATAATACTTCTACCCAGAGATCCGGTGTCACAATTCACGAACACACTATGATTTTCTACAAACATCAGTCTGAAAGAAATTACAACTATTTTGGAAATAAAGAAAATAGTAATATAGAGATGTAGAAGGGGACACCAGGGCCTGCGGACGCCAGCAGGACTACCTTGGGTCTCCTAGTTGAAAATATTGGTAACCGACCTCTCGATCAGCCACTACCTGCTCCAAAATCTGCACAAAAAGTGCAGAGTGCAGTATCAGTACAACCGACCCCATGTACTGGTAAGTTCCGAGCCTAACCTCGATGAAGTAGTGACGAGGCTACATCGGGGCAATTACAATATAACCTGCATACAGTATGTAATAAAAGCAGAAAGAAGGACATGATAATATAAAGCAGTAACTTGCAAGAAATGAACACAGAACTCAAGGGTCTTGACAGTATCCAGCTATAACCAATCCTTAAGTGATATGCAAGGCTACCGAATAACTTATACAGTAGAAGAAAGATACATAGACACGTAAACTGATGCGGCGCGCATTCCGATCGCACCATATATCAATGTCAATATGAATATTCACCCTTATTACTCCATATCAATCCACCCTTATTCCTCCTATTGCGGCGTGCAACCCGATCCCACCGTATAATAGCAATTCACCCTTATTCCTCCTCAATATATCACCCTTATTCCTCATGTTGCGGGGCGCAACCTGATCCCACCATATAATATCAATTCACCCTTATTCCTCCTCAATATATCACCCTTACTACTCATGTTGCGGTGTGTAACCCGATCCCAATATATCAGTATAAATTACTCAACAAGTACAGAGATTTCACAAATCAACTCAAAACTCTTCACAATATTTAAGCCTCAAACCAAAGCAAACGGAAATCTTTTACATTATGAAACTTCACACAATAATGCTACTCAGCGAAACCAATTCAAAATATACCATAAAACACTGATAAATCAGCTTAAGCCAATAATATGAGACAATAAAACTACGGGGTAGCTAATACATTCAACAATGAAAAGCAATGTGTGACAAGTAGAAATTAAGCATGGAAACACTAGTAAAACATGTAGTAGTTAAGGCAGGGAAGACAATATAATAAGAACGGGAAAAAACAGGCAAAACAGATAAATTGGCGGCGCATAGGTACTCGTCACCTCACCTATACACCACTCACATTGATTTTCACATAGCAATTAAGTCAAGGATTCCTATTCCCTCGAGTCAAGATTAGACACAACACTTACCTCGATCCACAAGTCACTCACTGCTCAATTACCGCTTTTCCTCTAGATTCCACCTCCAAACCACTCGTATCTAGAGATAATTAACTTAATATCACCAAATATTTCTAAAGGTATCAATTTCAATACATAAATTTAGGTTTCCCAACATTTTCCCCAAAAAGTCAAAAATCGACCCCGGGCCCGCTTGGTCAAAACTCGAGGTTCGGACCAAAACTCATTTAGCCCTGAGCCCGAATATGTAATTAGTTCCGAAATCCGACCCTAAATCAAGGTCTGAATCCCCAATTTGCAAAAATCCCTAATTCTACCCAAACCCCCAACTTCTACCATGGAAATCCTAGATTTTTGGTTGGAAATTCATGAAATGTGATGGGAAATTGAAAGAAAGTGGGTTAGGATCACTTGCCAAAGTTTTGGAGAAGAAATGGTCTTGGGAGAATAGCCTCTAGGGTTCTAGGATTTGAAAAATATGGAGAATGGGAGAAAATACCGTCTAACTTACGTTTTGAACAGCTTCAGATGTCGCATTTGCGACCCGAGCTTCGCAATTGCGAAGCTCGCAAATGCGAGAGAAGCTTCGCAAATGCGAACTCCTCTCATTTCTGCTGCTTTCGCAAATGCGAACAATTGTTCGCAAATGCGACTTTAGGTGATCGCAATTGCGATCCTAATCTTCGCAAATGCAAAGTCCACCCCCCCCCCAGCCCAATTGCTCGCAATCGCAATGAACTCTTTGCAAATGCGAGGCTCGCATTTGCGAGCCAGACCTCGCAATTGCAAAGTCTGCAGACCTGAAGCATACCAGCAAAATTTTCTAAGTTCAAAACACTCTGTAGCCTATTCGTAACTCACCCGAGCCCTCGATGCCTCAAACCAGACATGCACACAAGTCTTAAAATATCATACGAACTTGCTCACTCGATCAAATCGCCAAAATAACACCTAGAACTACGAATTTAGCACCAAATCGAATGAAATTCTCAAGAACACTTTAAAATTTTTATTTTTTCAACCGGACGCCTGAATCACATCAAACCAACTCTGTTTCTCGCCAAATTTCACATACATGACTTCAATATTATATTGAACCTATACCGGGCTCCGGAACTGAAATACGGACCCGATACCAACAAGATCAAACATTAACAATTTCTTAAAAACCATTAAATTTTCATTCTTACTTTTTTTAGCAAAAATTCATAACTCGGGTTTGGGACCTCAGAATCCGATTCCGGGCATACGCCCAGGTCCCATATTTTGATACGGACCCACCGGGACTGTCAAAATACGAGTTCGGGTCCGTTTACTCAAAATATTGACCGAAGTCAACTAAATCATATTTTAAAGGCAAAAATTATTATTTTCATCAACTTTCCACATCGAAGCTTTCCAGAATCATGCTCGGACTACGCATGCAAATCGAGGAGGGATAAAATGAGGTTTTTAAGATTTCGGAATGCGAAATTTAGTTTAAAACACAAGATGACCGTTTGGGTCATCACGAGAATATCATGAACAAAGGAAAAGCTGAAATGCCTCAAGAAATGTCAAACTTCTTCACTGAGGAGCAGTATGGTCGAATAATGAGGATGCTGAACAAAGAAAAGGTAGAGGAGCACACAGCTAATATGGCAGGTAATGATGACTCAAATTTGTTGAAAGATTATAGGGATCCTTGGGTTATAGTTACTGGAGCAACAGATCATATGGCTTCAGATCGTAATATGTTGTATGATGTGGTAAAATTACCTGAACTTAGGAGATGTAATGTTAGTTTACCAAATGGTAAGTCTGTACCTGTTACTTATCAAGGCAGCTATAATCTCACAGGAGATGATACCATACATGATGTGTTGTGTGTGCCTGAATTTAGATATACCTTACTATCAGTCTCTAAACTAACAAGAGGGTTTTAATGTTCGGTGAATTTTTTCCCAATATTTTGTGTCTTCCAGGATCTGTACACTGGGAGGGTGAAGGGGATTGGTAAGGAGAAAGGTGGCTTGTATCTCTTAATCCCAAGAAAGACAGAGAAATACAAGGAAACACAAAAGATTAGAATCTGTCTTGTAGCAGGAGTGAAGGTTGATGTTGGCACCTGGCATAGAAGGCTTGGACACATTCCAGTAGCAGTCATGAAGAAGCTTGATTTTCTAAAGACTAAGGAATTCCTAGGTTGTAGTCTCAATAATTGTACTGTATGCCCTTTGGCTAGACAGACTCGAAAACCTTTTCCTCTTAGTAATAGTAGGGAAAGTGATGTTTTTCAATTAGTTCATGTGGACATTTGGGGCCCATATAAAGTTCCAACATACAATGGTAATAGATACTTCTTAACACTTGTAGATAATCATTCCAAGATGATTTGGGTATTTCTAATGAAATTGAAGAGTGACACCATTGTTTTGTTGAAATCATTTTTTAAACTAGTTCATGTGCAGTTTGGAAAGGTCATTAAAATGTTGAGGACTGATAATGGTGCAGAATTCTTTAGCAAAGACTGTAAGGATTTCCTATCAAGTTATGGAGTTCTTCATCAAAGCAGTTGTCCACACACTCCACAGCAAAATGGAGTGGTGGAAAGGAGACATAGGCACATCCTAGAGGTGGCAAGGGCATTGAGATTTCAGGGCAGCATTCCATTGCATTTCTGGGGAGACTGTATGTTAACAGTTGTCTACCTTATAAATAGAGTACCATCCTCAATTTTGGGTGGCAGGTACCCTTATGAGGTGTTTCACAAATCTAAGCCAAGTCTTTTACATTTAAAGGTTATGGGCTGTCTATGCTATTCCACAGTTACAGAGAAGATTGACAAATTTTCACCTAGAGCTATAGCAGCAGTTCACATGGGGCACTCAGTCTCTCAAAAGGGCTATAGGTTGTATAATCTTAAGGTCAAGAGATTCTTTGTGTGTAGAGATGTGACATTCTAGGAGAACATTTTTCCTTTTCAATCAATGAAGAAAGGTGTAAATTTGCCATTGTTTTTGGAGATTAATGAATAGAGTGGTGCTTTCTCTTAAAGCCAAAACCCACTCAAAATAGGAATAAACCGAATCCAATTCCAAATAGGATTGGAAACCAAAAGAGAATAGGATTAGGCCATTGGGCCTTTGGCTGGACAACATGGGCATGTGCCCAACAAACTCCCCCTCCAGCCAAGGGGCCAAATGTGTCTTCAAGTAGAGGAACTATTGACAGGCTTCATGCCTGCCAATTTTCTACAAAATTCATGTTTATCTGCAACCACTGCCTTTGTCAGCATATCCGAAGGATTTTCATCAGTGTGTATCTTCTTAACCTCAAATAATTTCTTTTTCACGACCATTCTTATCCAATGATACTTTCTATTTATATGTTTGGTCTTAGAATGAAAAGTGGAGTGCTTGGTGAGACAGATAGCACTCTGATTATCACAATATAAGATGTACCGTGGCTGCTAAAAGCCAAGATCATTAATAAACTCCTTCATCCATAATAGTTCTTTGGAACCTTCTGTGACAGCAATATATTCGGCTTCTGTGGTGGATAGAGCTATGCACTTCTGTAGTCTAGATTGCCAAGAAACAGCTCCCCCTGCAAAAGTGATCAAATAACCGGAAGTGGATCTTGAATTATCAAGATTGCCTCCTAAATCAGAGTATGTGTAACAAACAAGTTCAGGCTTTCCATTGCCAAAGCACAGCTTCAAATGTGCAGTACCTTTTAAATACCTTAATATCCATTTTACTGCATCCCAATGTTCCTTTCCAGGATTGGAAATGAATCTGCTAACAGTGCCAACGGCATGTGCAATATCTGGTCTAGTGCAAACCATAGCATACATCAAGCTACCAACGGCAGAAGAGTAAGGAATACGAGACATCTCTTTTTTCTCTTCATCAGTAGATGGACTCTGACTAATACTCAATTTGAAGTGTTTAGCAAGAGGAGTACTAACCACTTTTGCATCTGTCATATTGAACCTCTTGAGTACCTTCTCAATGTATTGCTTTTGGGACAGAAATAACTCATTTCTATATTTGTGTCGGTGGATTTGAATGCCCATGATTTTCTTTGCTGGCCCCAAGTCCTTCATCGCTAACGATTTGCTCAACTGCTTCTTAAAGACTGCAATTCTGGATTTATTCTTTCCAACAATAAGCATGTCATCCACATAAAGCAATAAAATAATAAAATCATCATCAGAGAACTTCTGGAAGAATACACAGTGGTCTGAAGAAGTTTTCTTGTACCCTTGTTCTTCAATGACATATTCAAACTTCAAATACCATTGCCTTGGAGCTTGTTTCAATCCATACAGGCTCTTTTTCAATTTGCAGACATAATTTTCTTTTCCCTTTGTTACAAAACCCTCAGGCTGCTCCATATAAATCTCCTCATATAAATCACCATGAAGAAAAGCAATCTTGACATCCATCTGCTCAACCTCTAAATCTAGACTTGTGGCTAAGCCTAGAACCACACGAATAGAAGACATCTTCACAACAGGGGAGAAAATTTCATCAAAGTCAACTCCCTTCTTCTGGCCAAACCCTTTAAAAACTAACCTCGCCTTGTATCTAGGCGTAGAGGTATGGTTATCTTGCTTTATTCTGAATATCCATTTGTTAGATAAAGCTCTCTTACCTTTCGGCAATTCACTAACTCATATGTGCCATTCTCATGGAGTGACTTCATCTCATCTTCCATCGCTTCGATCCAATGATCTTTGTGATCCCGTGGTTTTTACCTTCGATTGGAAGGATTTTCCACGTTAAAATTTGGTGTTCTTTATCTTCTTTATTTTCGGATTTGCCTCTTCCTCGACATAACTTGTTAGGACCGAAAAAGCAGGTGTCATGCGGAAGCTAGCAAGGCAAACCTTGACGACGATAAATCATACAATAAATAGAAATCTACCAAAAGAGACACAAACATTTAACGTGGTTCGGTCAACTGACCTACGTCCACAACGGAGATGAGCAATCCACTATAATAAAAAGAGAGTTCAAAATATCGAGAGAACAACCTCACGAAGAGGCAAACACAAGTGACACACTTACACTTGTCCCGTAAAGTTCTCCCCTTAGACACGACTCTCAAGCCCCCTATGGCTACATTGTGGATGCTACTGAATGTGAAGGAAGGATCCTCAATTTATAGAAGTCCAAACCTTTTCCTACAAGAAAAAGGACTAGCCAAATATTGGAGATTTTTAATTTCCTTTTACAAAAAGGAAAACCCAATTAAGGTAATTATATTGCCCTTTCCTTCAAGAGATAGGAAAACCAAATATGGTAAGAAAATTATGGCAAACACCTAACAATTCTCCCCCTTGGCCTGAATTTTCTGACAAAATAAACTTGATCCACCTTCTTCACATAGCCTTCAACAGGTCGCATCTCCAGATCTCCGCCACAAAGTTTGTCTCAACGTGCGTAGCACTTCGGTCAAATTTCGCAGACAAAAAATCACGATTATCATCAAATATGTTGCAGCTAGAACTGAACACGCCAAGATGAACCTGTCTTGAACCTCGCTCAAAGCTGGCTTTGATACCACTCTTGGCATATTCCATGGTCACCTTACCTCCTGGAGCTGAATTTGTCAAAGAAACACGAAGAGTTTCCCAAGAGTCTGGCAGAGTATTAAGAAGCCAAAGTCCTTGTATCTCATCATCAAAATTAACCCCCATTCCAGATAGCTGATCAAGGACGCCCTGAAAATCATTTATGTGATCAAGGATACGGCTGCCTTCCTTGTATTTAAAGGTCATCAATTGCTTTAGCAGAAATAATTTGTTGTTCCCAGTTTTTGAAGCATAAAGAGTCTCTAGCTTTTCCCACAATGATCTCGCATGTATCTCGTTCACAATATGGTTGCGAACATTATCTTCAACCCATTGCCGTATATATCCACATACTTGTTGGTGCTCGAAATTCCAATCTTCATCGGATATACTCTCGGGTTTATGAGCTGAAAAAATGGGTAGATGCATCTTCTTCACGAAAAATAAGTCTTTCATCTTGCTTCTCCAAACATTATAATTTCTCCCATTTAAACATACCATCTTGCTCATATTCGCCTCCATTCCGTAATAACCCGGATAAATAACCAAGGCTCTGATTCCACTGTTATGTCGAGGAAGAGGCAAATCTGAAAATAAAGAAGATAAAGAACACCAAATTTTAACGTGGAAAACCCTTCAAATCGAAGGTAAAAACCACGGGATCACAAAGATCCAAAAAACTCCACAATAATAATAAGAGGGTTACAAAAATTCTCCAAAATTGGCTACACAACAAGGGCCAAACACGGAGCAACAATAGCAACAAGAGTAACAACTAATCAATTGAAGAAAGAGTATAATCCACAAAACAAAGCTGCTGTTCGAGGCTCGAAATCAGATGCTACGTGTCTCCAAATCCGATCTCCACCGTTCAAATCCAAGACCAGGATGTTATGAACACTCAGTCAAAATTTCAGCCCGATCCAACGGTTAACGAATCAGAAAACGTAATTTGAAGTTGGCTGGTCGGAATAAAAATCTGCAGCAAAACAAATACTTTTTTTCTCTCTTCTCTCTTGATGAAAGCTCTCTCAAAACCCACTCTTATGTGCTTAAGTCTTTCAAAGACTTGTATCAATGAGCATAGAATAATTCTCCAAGGTTGTCCTATGTATAGATCATGAGTGGTGCTTTCTTTTAAAGCCAAAACCCAACTCAAAATAGGAATTAACCGAATCCAATTCCAAATAGGACTGGAAACCAAAAAAGAATAGGATTAGGCCATTGAACCTTTGGCAGGACAACATGGGCATGTGCCCAACAGTTAATCCTCTTATAAAGAGAGAGCTTTTGATTCAACATTTACTTGCCTTCTTTCACCTAAGGAATAGTAGAATATTCATTCCCTCGGCTAACTAAAAATCCAATCGGCTGTTTGAAAGTAAAGCTAAAAAAAATTGGGAGAAAAAATAAATGAGATTTTCTAAGTTACTATATTAATAGGAAAACAAATCTACATTAACAGAAAATGATACTATGTAGGTTCATTTTCATTATCCAACAAGGAATTGTATCCTGTTATTGTTATTAACTTAAGATAATTAAATAATGCAGGAAAAAGCATGACTAATAGTCTATAGCCTATTTTCCGGATTAAGCCGAGTTGAAACCAAATAGGTACAGGTTTCACGCTCCTGCCAACTTGGAATAGCTAGCTTGATTATTGTACGAAGGAGCCTTTTAACAGCAAAGTGAAAATTAAAATTTATTAATATAGTAACTTTAAACACAATAATTAAAAGGGCAGGAAAGTGTGTCTATTAATTAACAAGAACTAGTAGTAATCTATTTTATATTTCAAACAATAATAATATAGATGCTTGTTTTAAAGTGTAAACGATCTGTCTGTAATGGTTACTTCATTGAAGTGGAGTCCGAAACTTAAATGATAATTTTTTGTACAAAAAGTACTTTTTTAATATTTTAAAAAGAAAAGGTACATTAATGGGTATTTCGCAGTTTTATACTGCGAATTGACTTAACGGATTTTTTGCCGTTAAGGCATTTCGCAGTATAAAACTGCGAAATATTAAAAAAATATTTTTTAAGACATTTCGTGTTACAATACTGCGAAATAGGCTGATTTTAGGCCCCACCAATAATTAACTGACATAACAATAATTCAAATACATAATTCGCAGTATTATACTGCGAATTACTTTGAAAAATTGTACACCCCAAGGTCGGACTTGCCTTATTTATAGGCGCTTCAATTTTATAAAAATTCATTCAACACTTAAACTTCAAACATACGTTTATTCTCTCTTCTCCTTATCAATCAATATTTTACAATGTCTGAAGTGCCAAAAATAAGGGTTTCACTGTATTGGGGGGGGGGGGTGAGATTGTGGTGGAGAATAACTCTGTGAGGTATAGCTCACC